AAAGCCATTTTTAGTCCATCTGTATCTAAAAACGGAGAAGTGTATACGCCAGAAACTTCTTGCATGAAGGGAACTTCTCTTCATATTAAGAATATGTGAATAAACAGCTCTGCAATCGTAAGGTTCGAGATTTTGCTATGGCTTTACGAGCCCGAAAAGTTTCCGGGGCTTTCGAGAAACGGGCCCCCTGGGCTTATAAAACTTCGTAAGAGGTATTAGATGGGCTTATAAACGGAGGGGCCTATATCCGGAGAGGTTTATAACCAGAATAAAAAAACCGTATCAAATTTAACTACAGCACTGTTGATGGAAATACGATTTTCGTCATGAAATTGCATTGTAGGGGGTCTTACATCCGGGGTGGCTTGTAATGGGAAGTAATATACTATTTTGTTTACAAGTAGACGGGCCTATAATTGGGGAAAATAAAGCCGAAGGGCTTATAAGCGGTTTACGGTATTCCCAAAAACTCATATGGTTTCTTATTCTAAGGCGACATATTTAAGATCTTATCATTGCTAACTTTAAAAGTTTAAGTGCCTTCTGAAAAAACAAACATCTAAAGCTCTGTTTTACCTCGTAAAATATGTTCATTATAAGTCATTTTGTCATTAAGTTCATTAGCTTAGAACGTACTTTGATATCTTAGGACACCAAATTTCCGTCTATGTGTTAACAACTGCTTAAGTTTTTACGCGCAATCATTCAGAATTTTGCCCTTTTTCACGACAGTCATTGTTTGAGTTTACATTATGTAGATTGCAAACGATCAATGTGCAAAGTAATCAAATGAGCTCAAAACTACATGTAAAACTTATATGACACTGCGACGATATACTAAATTATAAAATATACGACTGAAGAAGCCATTGAAAGTGTTAAAGGGCGTAAACTGGACGACGTACGTTTAGGGCCTAGCCCTTCTTCGATGTTTGAAATGGAAATGCTATGCGCTTATACATTTTGTGTTGATACCTTTCTATTCTGGTACTAAAATTACTAAAGTTCACTTCAGAGCATACAAAAACCTCTACTTTATCTTACTTTAGATTGCTTTTCATGAGACTTTGAGGAAGGAAACTTTGTGTCATATATATGGTTCTCTAGCGTTTAGAACCAGTCATTATTACGTGCTGATCAGCCATTGAAAATGATCTATCTACCTTTAAGAATATCATTCTGTGACCGATGGTCCATTCCACATCATTGAGGAGTGCTTTTGCTAAGGCCTCTGTCATTTCTCGTGGAATATCACGCGGCAACTTTAAGTCCTTCATGATGACATGATATCTGTTCACGAATTCGTCAAAAGTGTAACGAATTGCAAAGCCAGCTTTACGAATCCTGTAATTACAACAAAGAATTCCTTGTCAAACATGTCATTTTCTATCTTAAAGAGCTTCAAGGACACTTGCATTTTTTACAGAGGTCCCCGTGCTGCTACGACGCTCGTATCTGAAGCAAATTTACCTGGACTTTGGCCTCGATTGTCTTGATGAAGGCCGTGATACTGGAGAAAGCGAAGTCGAAGGTGAACCCGCCATTTTGGATCTTTGGACGGGCGAAGTCTGGAACCAGCAGTTTGCAAACTCGTCCCAGTGTTCACGCACTACCATGCAACGTAAGTCCCAGAATAATTAAGACTACCTACGGCAAAACCTTTAACATTCTTATTTGCTGATCGAAATCAAAGTAAATATAGCTTTTGTTTCACTTGTCACCGTTTAAAAAGTCAAAAATAATAAAACCGTACTTTACTGTTTCCAACATCCCCGAGTATTTGAGCTGTTGCCAACACAAGTGACGATCAAACATCTGCGTGAAAAGAAAAATAAAATACGTAATAAACATACCGGCCTCCTTTTTTCTTTGGGTGTCGATAGAATCTGATGTAGTGTAGCATTATAGTAAATTTTTTTCTTATAAAAAAAAAAAA